TTTTTTTCATAGCTGTTCACTATTGGAAGAGCATATCCTCGGGTGCATCAGCATCTATTTTTCTATATTGTTAAATGTTACGGGAATGGAGATAAGTATTATTGTTTTTCGTCATTCAGTAAAGAAAACTGCACATGAGCAATTTTCTTCAAGTATATATATTTGCAATATGAGAGACTCTTTTATGCTTCTTACGTGTAAGAAATCATTTCTCCTTGTACGACGACGTGATATTAGTTTACCTCTATTGGTGAAACCCTCACCAATAGACCCCCAAAACCGACCAGTGCAGGTGGGCCTCTTTGGGCTTTCTTACTTGGTTGTCATGGACAACTTGAGTTACAAGCCTATGGCCTAATGAATCTAGGAATCCAAAACTCACTTTAAGACCTATACGTCGTCTCATGTGCATATAATAATTAAATTAACCTACTCAATTAACTAATTTAATTGATCTCATCTTTACAAGTTTTGAAGATATACATCATGTGCCTGTTAATACTCAACGCCATCATGGCTGCCCCGGCATCGTCCCACGCAGAAAGAAAGAGCACAGAGCCTCGGCGGACCTGTAGGTCCGCTAACGTAAAGCGAGAAGTTTGAGCCTGAACCGAGCATAGCTCACATCCTTGCGGTGAAACAAAGCTAAATTGTGACATGAAGATGATAAGAGGTAGAACTCAAGGGCCGGAAATTGAGCTGATATAATTCAAAAGTACACATCATACTAACGAAAGGGTTACTCGCCTATACAATTCTTAATGAGCTATATATACTTATGCACCAAATCACCTTATGAGCCTTAATGAAAAGATAAAGCAGGTCTGAAATTGTCACAACCAATCTTTTCCCCTACTTCCGACTGATTCGAACAAAATTTTAGAAGAGGAATTTCTCATGACTAGTGCCACAAGGCATGGAGGATTCAACATGTTATGAACCAAGACTCGCATCAACACTCTCCCAGGGCACGAGTCAACTCTCACCAACGGCACAAGGAATCAACTGTCACCGATGGCACAAGGAATGCACGGAGGACTTTTAGCTTGGTCTTCAGGGGTGATGAGCTGCAAGCAGTGGTCATAAAATGTGTGGCCACACGGTAGAACAGCAACAACTGGTTGAATAGTTGGTATGGAAACAGGGCCTTCAGGTGTGAAGGAAAGATCCCTCTTGCATATCAAACACTTGTGCCCACTTGGTTGAGTTTGACCAAAACCTGCAAAAGAAAAAACAATTCCTACTATCATCACATGTATTTCGGTACTATACATGCTACCAACCATCAAAATCACTACAGTACCATATATATTATGTATCAGATCATTTAAAAAAATAACAGATTTAGTAGTATCTATGTCTCAGGTATGCCTAGACTTCCAAACTTTAACTGTGTTGCAGTATTCAATTATTTCAGAACCTATCAGAAGCAGTTGTATAAACTGTAAAAGAAGGCCTCAAGTATGCTCATCCGAACACAACCTGGGAAAACCATGACTAGCAGGTCTTTTACTCATGTTGCCAGAGAATGATCCTACAATCTAAACTTAACTGGAGAAGTGTAAGCACGCATTAGGTCATGTGGCATAGCAGGTCTTTTACTCATGTTGCATTAAATGTGCTCTAATGGGTTGAGAGAAAAACCATGACTAGAAATAGCATGACATGTCAAATTGTTTGTACTCGCATAATCCACACTTGTATCATTTAAAACAACTTTGTTGAAAATTTTAAAATATCAATGTATGGTTAGAAATAAAGACGTAATGAAGAAAAAATTGTTAATGTGACACAAGAATGAAGCTAACCTTTCCATTTTATATGTACAGCTGAAGCAGTCCGGGATTGTGGTGGAAGAGGGGGTGCAGCAGTCTGGGGTTGGGGTGGGGAAGGTGGACCAGTCTGGCGTTTGGGTAGGAGAGAGGGAGCAATCTGGGGTGGTGGAAGGGGAGGTTGAGCAGTCTGGGAGAGAGTGATGAAGCAGACTGAGATTTTGGTGGGAGTGGTGAAGCATTCTGAGATATCTGTGGGACTGGTGGAGCAGCCCAAGGTTGGGATGGGAGTGGGGGTACAATTCGGACCTGGGGTCGGAGAGAGGGAGCATTCCAGGACTGGGTCGGGTGTGATGCGAGTCGAGGAGCAATTTGGGGTAGAGGTAGGAAAGATGGAGCATTCTGGGATAGGGCCGGGTGCGATGTAGTAGTTTTGGCTTTGGGTCTGAGACATGGAGCAGTCAAGGATAGAGGCGGATGCAATTTAGTAGTTTTCACTCGGGATGGCAGAGAGGAAGCAATCTGGGATAAGGCTGGGAGTACTGCAGTACGTCTGACTGGGGTTGGGAGGGCAAACGTAGTCTGTGACAGGGGTGGAAATAATGGAGTACTTCTTCCTTGGGCTGGGAGAGTGTGAGAAATCTGCAATAGGGGTGAGAGTGATGTAGTACTTTTCGCTTCCCATGGGAGGGATGGAGCTGTAGGATCTGGGACTGTGAAAGAAGAGGCCTTGGATGAATTTGGGACAGTTGAAACATTTAGGGACAACATTGGAGCAGATGGATCGACAGAAGATTGAGCTCTTCTTCTCTTTAACAGTTGAGCTCTGGCAGTCACCGCTTGCGGTTGTTCAGCAACCCTCTTAAGATGTGTTCCAACAAAAGCACTAGAACCTTGTGCAGTTCTATTACATTTGGTAACTAAAAACTCTTCACCTAAAATAGTGCAAGTTATCAAAATAACAGCATATGCAGAGATACATTCAAGCATGATCAAGACTTAAGAGTTTCAATCGTAATGTACCAGTCATCATGGATCTAGAAAGGTTTGTAGATGGCTGAACAGCACCGACGACATGAGGTTGACAATAATTACCTGAAAAGTATCCATCAAATGCATTACCAAGTTTTTTTATCACTCTATAAGATTGCTTTCTTTGCAAACAAGTGCCAGCCAGTGGTGTGTCATGGGATAATACGAGTTCTGCATCAATATTGGAATTCAAAAAAACAAGTCCTATTCATGATACCTATCAGTCAATGCTATATAACTTCACTCTAGCACAATTATCATTTTACCCATCTTCCTCAATCTTTGGTCCCTTTCTATCAATCAGCTATAAATCAAAACATGTAAGAATACGTGCACTGACAGTGTTCCACACTTGATTACAACATTTGCCGAGCTAATTCTACTGTCAACCTATTTCTGGTTTATTTTTTCATACAAATACAAAAACCACAGGATAGTATTTGTTAAAAAAAAAGCACAAAAAGACCACAAGAGTTACTATGTTAAGGATGAAATGGTTGCATGAATAGAACATTGTGAGTTATATAAGTAAGATGGACTTACTAGGTAGCTGGCTAAACCTGAATTTCCCAGGAACATCGCCTCTTTCAGCAACTTCTACAGCAATAACCTCATTAGTTGCGAAAGGCTTCCCTAAAGAGAGTTGCAGAGTCAGTCACCGGGAAAGCTACATAAAATGGAACTTTTAGCAAGTCACTACTTTACATAAACAAATAAAAGTTAAGGTAGCAACAGAAGATCGGTTTGTTGCATACAATTTCTTAATACCACTTATCACCCAAGTTGGCCTGCTTAAAACTATAAACACGGATCTGAGTGACTTATTAGTGTGCAAGGCAAACCTGAAGCTGAACCAACCATGCAAAAGAACTTTGGTCAAGGCTACCCAAATAGACATGATATGTCAAGCATATTGAGCACTTATGTTAATCCCAGTAGTAGTACTCAGAAGTCTATATATTTGACTATTTTGTTGTTCTCACCATGGGGTTCCTTCTGCAATATTTGAAAACCAACGAAGTTGCTCTGTGGTTACCCAATATGTGAGAACAGTCCAAAGAGTAAGTACAACTCAGTTCTTCAAATCAATCAAAACAGTAACGGCGAATCAAGTTAGCTTGTTACATACTTGATTCTAGTCAATTTTTTAGTGATATTTGGATGATGAGAGAAAATTTTATAACCAAACTGTCATCTCATAAAGCCAATAATTCCTATAATGTGTTCCTCAGGGACAATGACTATTGACGAGTCACACCTCACAAGTATTATGTTTAATACCTAGTGGTTTTCAATGTCGCATAAGCGACCATAAATTAGTTACCTGCACACTCGGGTGTACTAAATTTGATTAAATATAAAAAGCTCAAATCTTCAATAAGATTACAGAATCACAATGAAAATAGTTGAGAGAATATAACATACTTTTAAGTAGAAGTCCAGCTTCAATGAGGTTACAGCATCGGAAAGAAAAAGGTTGAAAGAGTTTAACTAAGTAAAAACATAAAAACTATAAAAAAAAAAAAAGCCCTGAAGTCCGTACTGACCAAGTGTATATGACCTCAACGGACAGGGACCCAAACAGATGGTACACTTGTTCGCTGATCTTACTTATACTTGTGTGGCATCCATCCTACTAACCCCTGAAACTACAGCTCCAATAAAGAAGAGAGATTCTCTCCCTTCACGGGGATTAGGACACCTAAACAATTAACACTCCAGCTGACCAAACATGACCATTAGATGAAAACTCCACTACATAAAGCCAGACTCTAGATTTGGTGGCGGGAAAATAATCAAGAAATTCGTCCAAGGCACTCTAACGGCCAAAAGACCCCTTGTGACACTAAGCATCCAAGAGGGGTCATCCTTGCAAAATAAAAAACCATATTCAAGTTCATGACGGAAGTAAAATAAGAAAACCTGTTAGACCCCCCAAAATATTAACCCTATTTTGATTACTATCACTAACTTAATTCAAAGCTTCCATGGTACACCACAGTAGTGGTCCAAGATCTCACAACTATTTTGCCTTGGCCATTATCAAACATCAAAAAAGTATCTATGTACAGAATATAACAGTCCAGAAGTGAAACTAAAACATGCAACCAAAAATTTCCATTATGTAATACACCAATAAAAAGGAGAGCATGGTGGAAGCATTCCAGACTCACCAAACTGATCGTGCAGGGAAGTGCTTGTTGTGGCACCAATAGGAGGAAAAACCATGCCAGGATCAGCAATGAGGTTTCTAGAAGTTTCCAATGCAGGTGGACAAGTACTTGTACTCGAAAAAGAAAATGATGGCAAACCATATGCTCTGCTCTCTCCAGAATCAGGGAGCCCGGAGCTGCTACCAACAGGAATTAAAGATACATCTGGGTAACCCTGAAAACAGTTACTAGGATCAATATATGCAGATCTTGTATCCCAGTTCCCTTCAACTCCAAGAGCAACATTCCTGTTTCCCGGCATAACAAAATGATGTTGGCTGTCATCTTGTGGCATCTGTGAAAAATAAGGTGGATTCAGAATGAACCTAGGACTAGAACTAGCATCATACATACTGTTATATTTTTATTAGAAAAAGTTCAGCTACCAACGTTGTTTGTCAGCCCGTTGAATCCACCGGCAGTGTTCTGATGACAAGGCAAACCACCAGCTACATCAGAGGGATTGAAGAAATTTCTTTCTTCTTTTCGACTATAGAAAAGTATTTGGTTGAGGAAGGGCATCCCTTCCAAAATTATTAGCAACATTTGTTTCTGATCTTATAGATTTAGATAAATCCTCAGTCTTCCGCTCAAACCCCAGGGTTAGGAAACTCACATCAAGGTTTTCTGGGCAATCCTCTTGAACTTTGGTTGTCATGAAATTGTTATTTTTTGCCATGCCTAAGCCATCTATGGTATGGCCTGCCACAGGGGTGCTAACTCCATCGCTTATGAAATTTCTAAATAGCTGAGGCCTGCCTATATTTCTATTTAGTTCTTCATTCTGATGTATACCATATAAGGCTGCAGCAAAGTTTCCATTAGCAGTTACTAATTTCCTGTCAACAGGAGGTTTAACGTCCGCATCAAACATAGCACTGACCACTTTAGCAGGAGGCATTGAATAATCAAGAGGACGATGAGTTTGCTTCACATCCAAACCGATAAAATTTGAATCTGACCTATGTTGGACCGGTTTTCTACCCTTCCCATATACAGAATCATAGTCAAACATTGGATCCTGAGGGTTGCTGAATGGTAGAGTGAGATCAGTCATCCAATTAATATCAGTCAGCGGCATTTCCATGGCATAAGGGTTATTCGTTCCATCAATGTCTTCAAAAGGAAAAAGTGAAAACGGCATCGTCATACTTGGAATGGTTATATCATCAGCTCCAGCAGCACTACTATTACTAAGGTTCCCCACGAAGTTAGACACATCATTAGGTTCATTACTTTGAACCGAGATTTCACTTTCTTTGATCCTTTGTAATGGTGAAGTAGAGCCAAGGGGCTCTCGTTCATGTTTCAACTTATCATTTGCCATCTGAATAAAATAAAGTCAGAAGAAACTCCAAAACAAGCCTTTTTTAACATAATAGAATTAATTTATATACTTTTAGTGATTTTAAACTTGGCTTCCCAACCTTGAAGAAAATAAAAATTTGAGGAGCTTGCAATTTTTCAAAAATTATAGACATTGATAAGCCATAAACCCATAAAGCTCACACAACAGAGGGTCTTCTCAGGTAGAAATGATCAAGGAATGCCAAAATAAGCAATTAACAGAGAATTTATAAAAGATTAAGCATTTCACTGAGAAAAAACGAAACACTGCTAAACAACGAATTAAATATACACAATTTTTTATTAGAAGGGCTAAATTACAGAGTCCCAAACAAGTGATAGTATGAAGCTCATTAACCCAACTGAAGCTCTTAAATCACAAACAACCAACGTTATATCTACCCACCAAAAGTATAAACTAAATATCTGATAAGCTGCCTTCAACTAGTACATTATACGGATATTAGCCAACCACACTCAAATTCAAAAACTCAAAAACCCCAAAACTCATAAACACATACGATTCACAAAACAAAATCAACGAAAACCGAAGAAAGGGAGAGTTAATGAGTTGTCTATCCTTAGTAGTGTTGGGGTTTTCCTAATTCTTCAACTACAATTTGTACCTAATGTTGGTTTTGTATCCTTAAAACGTAATTTACGTCAACCAAAAAAATTCAAGTAAATAGTGGGCAGCAGCTTCTACAAAGTAAAATGTGGACAATGAATATAACTCATTAAAAATACCATATCATAAATCATAATAAAACCCAATGCAGAGTTTCAATACCTCAACAGAACCTGGAATTTTAGAGCGAAATCTCGACCAACCCCGAAAACCAAACACAGGAAAATTCACACCACAAATCCCAAAAGATCCGAACAAACAACAATCTAATTAGTTTGAAAAATTGGACAAACCAACATATCAAAATTAGTCGCCAGTATCCATGGAGGAGGGGAGGAGCTAGATTCAACCCACATTAATGGCCACGCTACTTTGTAGGACAGCAAAAACATCCAGATTGCAGCACAACATCAACAAGGTTAAAATCAATTAAATTCACCGATAATTAAATCTTATCAAACTGAAAAACAAAAATCGAAACCAAAAATCTTGATTCATACATTCAATCTTTAGGGTAAAGAACTGGAAGCGATGCTTACCACCGTTCACTGATCCGTGCCCAGAGGGAGGGAGAGAGATTAGGAGGGGATCGTTCTTCTTTCCGGTCTCTTTCTTTTTCTCTCTTTTCTTTTCCTCCAAGAGAGAGAAGGGAAGGGTTTTGGGTTTGGCGCTGTTTGGGAGATTTTAAAGGATTCGGTGCGGGGTCCACATGGCACTGACAACACGCCATGTGGCGGACGGANTTGCCTGCTCTTATAATAAACATATTTTGACATTTAGTTGCATCAATGATCAATGTTTTTTTATTGTCGTTATTATATCACTGTTGTGTCGTCAATACATGATCAATATGTCGTAGTTACTAAAAATAAAAAATTAATCTTTATGCAAACTAAATGTCCAAATATGTTTGGTGTAACTAATTTCTATTTAGTCGTAGATATGTGTTGATTCAATGGTTTCTGGTATTTTTTTTCAATATTGGTGTGCTGTTATTTTCAACAATTTTGTGTTATCTCTATCGTTCAAGTTCAATTCTACTATTGACATTATTCATTCATCCATCAGTATGCTTCTAACTTTGATTTTTCATTTCGATTTTTTTTCAATATACTTAAGTAATTTGAATTTGATTTTGTTAATGAGAATATCCAAGTGTATTTTTTTCAGTTACATATCTCCAATTCATAGGCCTTCTAATTTTTTATACAATTATTAGCTTAATGTATGTTTTCTTTTGGAAAAAGCATCAGATAGGCAGATATATGCTTCTACAAAAAGCACTTAAAGTTATTTTCCAAGATTTATTTGTATTTTTATTAAGGAAAAATTAGGTTATCATCCTTCCTTTTACTACTCCATTGATTAAAATCCTATTCATTTTCAATTTTTGATCAAGGTCCTTGGTATTATTAAATCATTAATTATTTCAATAATAAAATATTTTTTATTTCTAAATATATTCATTTAATGTTAAAAATGTTACAATTAGTATATTTATATTTATGACTAAATTTTTTATCATATATTTTTAGTTTTAGTTTGTATCCATTTTTAATTTGTAATTTTTTTTTAATTTGTACCAATTTCTTTTCAATTTTAATTTTTACTCATATATTAATTTCTTTTTGTGCCCATATTTTTTAAAGCTTATTTGTATTTGTACCCATATATTTTTTTATTTGTACTTTTTATTTTGCTAAATGTACCCATTCTAATTATATGTACCCATTCATGTAAAACTTTTTAATCTTAAAATGTACTCATTCTTAAATATAAACATTTGTTATATGTAAAATGTACCATTTTTTTAATATAAAATCTATTCAATTTTTTTCTAATCCATTTTTAAACTTATATGGGTACATTCTTTTTTTCTTTGGTTTTAAAATGTATCTATGTCAAGTTTAACCGAAGAAATTTACTAATGTTATTAAGCCTAATATCTTCTTTTTTTTTTTGTGATTTTGAAGAATGTACCCATGTTTTGATTTTTTTGGTTAATTTTGATGAATGTACCCATGTTTACACACACACACACACAATAGTAGATTATATTTTAATATTTTTAATCCCACAAATTATGGTTTTTTTTATTTAAAATCTCATTTATATAAACAACTAAAATTTCTAATTTTTAATTTTAAAAAATAGTAACGTACATAGAAATAAATTATCACATTAATTTCAGGGATCTCAATCAAAAATTAAAAACTAATAAGGTTTCAATCAAAGAATATTCATGACTAAGGACCGCATCCAAAGTCTCCCTTTTATTAAAGATTGGTATCAAAAACATATTTACCAAAAAAGAATAAAAGAAATGTTTTCAGTCATTTTAAATATATTTCCAAAAGAATACTTTATGTTATTAAAATGACTTAAAAGGACTACATTTTCCCTCTAATTTGTTGCGTAAAAATTTAGTGTGTGACATCTAGCAAAAGATCAACTTTGACTTTAAACAAGCGAATGAAGCTTGTGTCTTATGCCTCGTCTTTAGGAGAAATTGTTAGGTGATACCGTAGCACCAACAGGCAATGTTGAGTGGTGGTACTAATCCATTAGAAATTTGACACGTGTATAACTAAAACAAATTGGCTTCTGCCATTAACGCCCAAATCCTCCTACCGGAGGCTAATTAGGGTTTAGGGTTGAATTAGTTATGCCACCACTGCGTTGGAACAATGGGGGTGCGGTGGCAACAAGAGAGGAAGAGAGAGATATGTAATAATGAGGTGTATGTTATATCACCCAATTATGCCTTTATTTATAGTAGTGAGAATATAAATTTCTTACTCCAATAAGATTACAACTCTAATATAACAATATCTAATCTAAGAGATATCCCAGATATGATAGGATTTACACAATCACATCTCTAATCTAATAGGACTGCAATATAATCCAATTTTATGATTGCTTTTGTTTGTTTAAACTAGCATATGGGTACACACAAAGTGTGTGAGAAAATTTTTTATTTTTGTTTTTGAAATAGAAGGAGAGAGGAAGAGAGTGATAGAGAATGTGAGACTGGGAAGTTTATTTTTTTTTTATTTATATTTTAATTAGAGATATGTTATGATTACATATAGGTGAGGTTTTGAAAAAAACAAAACAAAATTTGATTATGTGAAATTACATTTATGCCCCATATTTCTTATTCATGTTCTGTTTTAATTAGAGGGTTAATTTGTTAATTTCATAGGGTTTTGGTTGACAATGAGTGTTTTATAATTAGTAGAGATTAGGAGTGCAAGTTGGATAGAAAATTTTAGTCTAAACCGAAAACTTTGGTTTTGAGTTTGCCATGTCACCAATCACATGCGTTACCAAAGTCCGTTGGGAGTGTTATAGGTTACAACACTTTCTGGTACACACACTTGTTCATTTTTGTGTGTGCATTGCTCATTCTTCATTCATGATTTTAAATTTAAGGGTGCTTTAGATTTTGGCCCTTACAATTCATGATTCCTAGATAAAAATTCATCTACATATAAACGTCCAATAAAAGTCCAAATTTAAAATCTTCAGCCACATTGGAACACTATTGACCTACTAATACAATTTATTTACACCCATGCCACTTTCCCAAATCCCTACATTTATTCCAAATTAAAAGTTGTAGAAAAAGTGAAATAAAATATATAAATTGTTGTATTGCATTAATTGTATCTATATCATACTAAAAATTTACCTTTTTAGTGATATATGTATTTTGCATTAATCGGGAAGTAAATTAATTGGGAGGTAAAATATTATATTACACACGGGGTATAATTTTTTGTAGGTAAATTATTGGAAATTAATTTGTAGGTAGGTAAATTAATTTATTCCAATTATATAAAAATATATATATACTACACCTAGATTATATATGTATATATATATATATATATATATATATATTTTAGAAAACCTAGATTATATATTTTGAATCAAATAACATTTTCGTATACATGGTAGGTAAATTATTTTTCATGTATTATTACATATATTAGCCTATTAGGGACGTTTTTTGGTAAAAATATATAAAGTAATATGTATATGATTGTTTGTAGGTAAAAGATAAAATCAAAAGCATGATCCAATTCCTAAGTTTATGCAATATTTTGTTGTTGGTATGTGTTTGGACCCGATTTTACACCATCGGCCCAAGCGATCGAGGCCGTTGATGAACATAACTCTTAACCGTTGGATGACATAGTAGTTAAGATAATTATTATTGAAGGATATATTGTGGCTTTAATCATGATGTTATCTTTTAATAGTGAATTATTTTGACATTTCTAATACGGGATAAATGAGTTTCAAATTATCTCCAATTTAGAAGCAATAACATAGTTCGAATTAATTGGGGTTTGCTGACAGAACTTGCAGAGATCAGCACTTGGCGTGTTCAGATAAGTCTTTAAGAATGGGATGGCATGATCGGATGGGCCTTGAAGGGATAATGAAAGAATATTCTTTTATTTTCCTATTTGGTCAAACAAATTTGTCAGATAAGTAAGTAGGTGATAGGTTTTAGCCTATCATGATATAGGGAAATGACCACGTGGAATGCATCCAAAAGATAAGAAAGGAAAAATAGGTTTTTTGGATAATGGTGATAATACTGAAGTAAAGACAGGTTATCTATTTTTCTGTTATTTGCTAAGGGATAGGCTCTCGCTTGTCTAGTTGGGATTGAAGTCAAATTCTACTCGAGGATTAGGCCGTGCCAAGCAAGCATACAGTCACTATAAATACAAATGCAATGACAACGGAAAAAGCCCATCCAATTCAACACACAAATTGCCCTGCACAAACTCTCGCTCTACGCGAAACCTCTCAACAACCTTGAGATTTTTACTTGCTTTTTCCGCTGACATACCTTCAATTTGGATAAACAGCATTGTGGAGGCAATCGGCGAACATCCTCAGTTTGGATAAACAGCACTGTTGCCGTAGAATCAGCCGACCGTGAAACACCTTCAGTTTGGATAAACAGCACTGCAACAGGGTCGACTGGTTATCTATCTAAGTCTCGGTCGAGAAGGATTTTCGGATCCTTATTGGCAGAGGTCATCTCATCAGCCTTCTCAGCGAAGTGAGGTGTTACTAGGGGTCGACACATTGAACGCCAAATTGTCTTATGATTGGATACTCACAAGTAGGTTTTAGAGTTCGGCATTCTGACGGCCGAACCACGTTTACCATCAAGACATATATTTGTTTTGAGTATCTATGCCCTTATACTTTGGTGTCAATTCGGCATGCTTATACTCTTATTAATATAATCACCATGATCGAATCTGGCACCAACGATTTGTGAACTTCGCAGAACTAGTAGCCTTGTCTTCAGGCTCTAGAACCCGAATGCCGAGACGTGTTCCTTCCTCGGCCGCAGTCGCAAGATCAAGAAGTCAGCCGCGCGCTTGACGCAACATCAACAAATTTTACTCATCGGCCGACTAGTTGGCACACCCCGTATACAATCGAATGACATAGTTAGCTTATTAGTTACTCGGCATGCACGCCACGTATGCTTGGTAGTTTTTAGGGTCAACAGTATGCAATATTTTGCATAATTAGAAATGAACATTTCAAATAGTAAGTAGGTAAATTAATATGGCCTAATTATATAAGTACACACACACACATATATTGTAACA